ACACACACACATATATATATATATATATATATATTTATATATGACATGTATGTAAAAATTCCCCGTAATAAAGTTCAGATATCAACCTAAAAATCAAACCCTTGCAACTAACAAATCCCCAATCTATAACCCAATCGCGCTTCAGTAACCTAGCTGCCCTGCTGCGGCGACTCCCTCCTCCCACAACAGCTCGCCGCGCCTGGTTTTTGCCATCGTCACCCTCTTCTCCGTGAAATCAGCCATTCCCTCGCTGACGCATCTAGCGATTCCGTTCTCTCCTCTCGATTTTGGCTGGCCGGAGCTGATAACATTCCTCAGATTCAGTCATCCAGCCGCACTTGGGCCTTAGACAGGTACTAATTTGCCTCAACACCTCTTCTCCTGTTCCGGGCCACTGAGTTCGATATTGCACTCGGCTTTTGCTCCATGTGCCTCTGTAATGGCAAAATCAGTGGTTGTTTGGTTGCAAGTAGCATTTAGTTTAGATAGGATTTAGTAAATTCTTATATATCCCAATTTATTAAATCATGAAGTGATTAAGGGTTTGTTTGGGGGAGCTGCAGCTTATCTAACTTATCCAGATAAGCATCTGATATGGATAAGCTTGCTGGTGGTTTGATTTGTGCGTTTGGAAAATAACTGATTTGCAGCTGTAAAACAGCTGATTTGCAGCTGTTTCTAGATAAATAATCATTTTGCTCTTGTATAATAGTGTTATTTGCAACAAAACTGTAATAATTATATATTTGACATATTATAAGCAAAAATCACTATATAACAGTATAAAAAAAATATACACATCGCTTAAGAGTGAACATCTATAATTTATGTTGTGCAAACTAAAATCAAGGATGATCTTATAAGGATCCTCCAACAAAAAATTAGCGCAATGGTTTTTATTGTATTTCATCAATGTCTCTGATAACATTTCTTTGATTTCTTAATTCATCATTCTTAAAAAATTTTCAAACAGATGCCTAGTAGAACTTCCCCAAAATGTGAAGCAGCATAAAGGTTCATTTGGTTACTTAAGTTCTTTAATCATGTTCTGAAAGAAAAGTTAAGTTTTTATCATTTGGCTTGGATGTAGTTAGAAATAAAAATTGATTTTGAATAGTGCAAACATAGTGAACTCTCTTCAAATGATTTATAAACTCAAGTGAGAGGAAGCTAGGTTCGGTGAGAGCTTGACGATGGTGGAGAAGAAAGCCGACGGAATGTCGCCAGTGAGAAAGGGAGATCACGTTTCGCCGAGAGGAGAGGAGGGTCAGACAGCTACGCAAAAAAAAATGACGTCGCGGGTAGGAAGCTTTGACACGGAGGAGAGGAGGCGGCGAGACGTTCATTGACGAGGAGTGGCGGCTAAAGTGCTTCGACCACGATGACTTTCGGGCAAAGGTGGCAAGAGTGACGAGGGCAATGGGGACGAGAGATAGGAGAGGGCAGCAGACTAAAAGTTACGGAACGAACGCGGGCCGCAGGGTCGATCCCGCGGCCACATTTATTAAAGAAATTAATATGTCATTTTCGATTAATCTCTCCCAACAGACAAAACAATTGGGACCATGCGACCACATGTATTAAAGAAATTAATATGTCGTTTCCGATTAATCTCTCCAAACATACAAAACAACTGGGCGGGAAGCGTTTTCAAAACGCAGCCCGCACTTATAAGTTGCCCCTGATAAATCATGAGAAATTCTTTGACAAATTTAAAAGAATTTAATAACATTAATAACATACATGTTAGTAAACATCAAAAGATAAATTTTAAATATTGAAAAATATAAATGAATATCTAAAGCCTCAATATACATAAGAGGAGACATTCACATTAATTAATAATTAAATATATAAATGATTGCACTTATTTGGAGGAGTTTAGGGGTCCTCTTTTCTGTTGCAGATGTTTATGATGACACAAAGGAGGAATCCAATTAAGGATAGCCTTAACTTTAAAACCCTTGAATGATGCATGTTCAGTAGAGATGATGAAGTGAAGGAAGATCATCTTTGGCGGCATAAAGTACACTCTTTAGGTTGATTTAATAATTGGAGGATCAAGTCTGTAAAAGTAGATGCGGATGGGTGTGTTGACCTAGCTTGCTAGAAATGCAAATTAGATTGTCATCAAATACGCTTTTAAAAATATTGTCAAGGAAGGGTCTCAACAATTGGTTTATGGCCCTTATAAAAGTGCAAGCTGTGTTGGATTGTCCAATTGGCATTACATGAATGTGATTTTTCATTCGTCATTAGCATGAATCTTAATTTGGTGATAGCCAATTTGGGGCTGAAATTCATATTTAATGATAATCTTATTTATGACAGTTTTGACACTTGTAGAGGGAGCTGAATTGGCGTGCTAAAATTTTAATCTTATTAAAAATAAGATTGCTAATTTTATTTTAAAAACATTAAATCAATGAGTTGTGACATGATAAAAATTTATAAAATGAAAATACATAAAAAGTAAAATAGACTAGAAAATTTTTATATGGTTTGACTCCCTGCATACATCCACGTCTAGCCAAACATATGGACTAGGATTTCGCCATTCAAACAAAAATTTATTTCTCAAACTATGGGTGGAGAAACTCTCACAATTCAAAATCACAAATTCAAAATACAAAATTTTTCATAATACTAGCAAAATGCAAATTTTGCTATTGTTCAATTAAATAATATAGTAAATCAAACTTTAAAATAAAATATCATATAATCTTACAATCCATTTTGTTTGTTGGATAGATTATTTATTGCTTTCAAAGGATCTTGTGCATATCTCTCAAACTTGATGATATTTCGATGCACACTTGAAATCTTCTTTGCTCTCGAGGATGAGAACTAGAGGGATTTTCACTTTTTTTTTTTTTTCCTTAGCCTTCTTCTTTCAAAATGTTATCTTTTTTATAAATTTAATATTTTTTTAAAAGATAACATTAATAATAATTAATAATACGAAGAAGAATAAGTACAATACAACCCTATCACAGATATATTCATTTCGCATTTTGTTTCTATGTGTAAAACCACTCATCCACCTAATCATTCTCATCTCGACAACACTTAACTTATTATTATGCTTTTCTTTTAAAGGCCAACATTCAGCGCCATAAAATATTGCAGGACTCACCACAGTCTTATAAAATTTTCCTTTCAGTCTAAGTGGTACTTTTCTATCACACAAAAGGCCCGAAGCATTCCTCCACTTCAACCAAACAACTTGAATTCTACTATTAACATCCCCATTTATATCTTATACACCATCGCTTTGAACAACGGATCCAAGATATCTAAATCGTTCACACCTTTTAATAATTTGATTACCCAAAGTCACACTTCTGTCACTAGAGCTACTACTACTGTAATTACATTCCATGTATTCAGTTTTAGTTCTTTAATTCTGTCACTAGAGCTAGTACTACTACTAAAATGACTTTGAATTAATGTTTATTATGTCTTTGTCCACTGCACCACAACAAATAGAGTTGTTAGAGTGCAATGAATGACATGTAGTTGACATGCATAATCAAGGTCACCATCTCTAAAGACGCGCTCATTGTCCTCTACATCTTCATGAGGACCATCAATAGGGAAAAGTCCAAGCTTATGTTGTTTCGGACCTTGTTAGCGGCACTAATAAAACATAGCGAGAGTTGTACGTGGCTTTAAGATGGTAGAATCCCTTGTAGATTGCTCTGCTTTGGATGAATGATCCCTAAGTAGAATTTGGTATGTCGTTGTGAAGAGGAGGCCTAGAGTTTGTAGGTTGATTATTGTGAGGAAGCTACTGACTTAAATTATGTTTGCATGCATGCTATATTTTCAATCACATGAGCATGATGATAGCCGTCATTAATGAATTCAAGTTTAGAGGGTTCAACTTCCATTTTTCAAATTGAGAAATAGGTAAGCTTTATAAGTGCATACAAAATGATTTATTTTTTTATTGCTTTTAAGCACCAAGCTCTCTATGTTTCATAATCTTGATTAGTTTGAATTAATAGTGGGTTTGAATTGTCGATGTTCCATGAAAACTATTCTTTCGTTTGGGTTTGACATTTAGGATTTTATAATGATTTTTTTTTTTTTTTTTTTTTTTTTTTTGGTTTCATTTTTGAAGAACGTGGCTCCATTATCTAAATTTCTTCTAGTTTTTTGAATCAGATGCTATATAGAAAAATAAAATCTTTTGTACCGTGTCCATATACAATTTCTTCTGAAAAATTTACATGCATAACACTCAATTACATATCTAACTGTTAAACTTCAATTTTTACATGTGTGCTACCTTACCTCTACATGAAAAGGTGTATTTCGCTTTTTTAACATTTAAAATAGTCGTATATTTGATGTGATTTGAAAGTTTTGGATGGTATCAATGTAAAAAGTAAATTGTAGGTGTTAGATATGTAAATGCATAGAAATTAGGTGGTATGTATGTAAATGTCCTTTTTTCTTTCTTGAAGAAACAATTTTACTTTGCCAAAATTTACATATAATTCATTTTATGAAGCTTGTTGGCATTTTTCATATTGTAGAGTTTGATTCTCCATTCCTTCTTTCTCCCCCAATCTTATATGATTCTCAACACCTTATCTGCTCAGTGTATGGTTGTTGTTCCTCTTCTATATGAACAAATTCCACAATCAAAAAAAAAAAAAAAAATCCAATGAACATCAATTCATAATAGGAAGATTTACATGCATACTGCTCAATTCTTATCTATTTACATGTCTAACACCTAATTTTCAATTTTTACAAACATGCCATTTTATCTTTGCTGAAAAGGTGTATTTCCCATTTTAGAAGTTAAACTAGTGGTATTTTTTATGTGATATGAAACCTTTGGATGTTATGATGTAACAAGTAAAGTTTAGGTGTTAGATATGTAAATCCATAAGAATTGGATGGCATGTATGTAAATATCCCTTCAAAACAGTACAAGATGATAGTATGTCTATAAGACTATCTTTTAGACTTTAATAAAATTGGCAAATATTTTACAGGAATCAACATGAAAGTCAAAATATTAAAATGGCACGCGGTGGCTTCGTGGACATGGGACGCTCAGGATGAGACCTGCGGAATATGCAGAATGGCATTCGATGGCTGCTGTCCCGATTGTAAGTTTCCCGGCGACGACTGCCCACTGATTTGGGGAGCCTGCAACCATGCTTTCCACCTTCACTGCATACTGAAATGGGTGAACTCACAAACAACACAGCCTCACTGTCCGATGTGCCGCCGAGAGTGGCAATTCAAAGCCTAAGCAATGTTGAGGTTAGCTTTGTTTTTATCATTCGGGTAATTTACAATTCTTTTGTATTTGCATATCTAACACCTAAAGTTTGATGTTTGCATTTGTAACCCTTTGATGTCATGAACATATGCTTGAAAATGGTATTTATGATGTGATATTTAGATTAAAAGGTTAAATATCTAAATATGAAAGTTCAGGTTTTTGATATGTAAATACATATGCATTGTGAGGAGGTATGTATGTAAATGCCCCTTATTATTGTTATTTTGAAGACGTTAAGAGCTTTTGATGCTTGAAGTGTTCAAATGAGCAAAATACACACTTACACAGTATGAAATTCAAGCTCATATTTTTGAGAAATTTACATACATACCACACAATTTTTATGTATTTACATATATGACGCCTAACTTTCATATTTATATTTATAACACTCTGATGTGATAAATGTATGCTTGAGGTGCATTTCAGTTTTAAAAAGTAGGCGATCGTATTTTTGTTGTGTTATTAATGATTTGAGTGCTATGCATGTAAATACTAAAGTTTGGGTGTCGGATATGTAATTATATAAGAATTGTGAGGTATTTATGTAAATGCCCATATGTTGTTAAAGGAGTGTGCTGCAGGTGTACTAATTAAATTTGATAGAGCATTCTGTACTTTTATATCAGTATCATGTTTTATTTTGGGGCAATTATATACAAACCACCCAAAACTTTGCTATTTACAAATTCCTCTCATCCATTTTTCAAATTCCCACTCAAACATCAAAATTCATGGTAAAGCCCAAACCTATATTTTTCATTTTTATCAAATTTTCAATAATTTGGTTGTGGCACGCATAAATATATCAAGTTCGGTAGTTTAAAACAATAACCTCGATGTTTAATCTGCAAATATCAATGTTTTGGATGGTCTGTATGTAATTATCCTTCTATGCAGGTTGGATGGATTCTAATTAGAAATATTAGTCATTCAGGAGCAAGGGAAGTTATAAAGTAAGAAGAAGTGAGTCATTACTTATTTTATTAGGGGCATTTACATACATATCACCCAATTCCTATGTATTTACATATGTAACACATAAGCTATACCATTCAAACTTTCATGTCACATAAAAGTATCAATATTTGAACTTTTAAAAGGTGAAATACACCTTGTTATGCATAGGTAAGATGACATATATGTAAAAATTGAAGTGTAGGTATTACATATGTAAATGCAGGAGAATTGGGTGGTATACATGCAAATCTTCCATTTTTTTTCTTCTTTAGAATATTTGGATGCTACATTGATATTTATATGGTTATAATGGTACCTAATATGTGCATGGCGCCATAAATCATTGATGTTGATATTTAGGGTTGTAAATGGACCTATTTGAGCAGCTCACGGTGTATATTCATATTTGGCTTATTCAAAACCTTATTTGTTTGAATTAAGCTCATGTTCAAATTTGCCTGTTCATATTGATGTGCATTAATCGCTATGTGCTTGTTCGTTTGAATAATAAAAACTTTCGTATAAATTGTAACAAATTAAGTTTTTTTCATGTTCAGGTCGTTTATTAGTCAGACTCGAAAGATTTGTGTTTGACTTGATGAATGAATTGAATATGAGCTATTTATTAAGCCGTGAATGGCAAAAGTATTTGGGTAATGGTAACAATAAACATGCAAGCAATGCGTGCATTAGGGCTGTGTATGGCAAATGTGCAAGCTCGAAGCTATCTGCTACGACAAACTTGAAAGAATTGAAATTGTAAATTGGGTTGTAAATGAGCCTGAGATTGAGCGAGCGCAGGTTTGGCCCATGTTTGGCTTGTTCAAAATTTGATATGTGTTCGAAATTGCTTATGAACTGTGTACTCGCGTTTGCTTGATTTGCATATTATTGTTCATGTTTGCCTCAAAATGATTTCTCGAATATGGCGGAGCGTGACAATGAGCTGTTAATGAACAATTTGAATAGGAGTTGTTCGCGAATGAGTTTTTTTTATACAACCCTAGTTGTAAATATTTTTAATGATATTAATTATACTATAAATTTAATATTTATTTTAAGAACATCTAAAGCTGGTGAATGGCTGAAAATGTAAAATAAATGAATGGGTTTGGTTTTATTCATTTTAGAACAATTTGAAAAAAAAAAAAAAAAGTTGCCATAAAAAAATGATAAATTGAAAATTTTAAAATGAAATTCTGCTGCTTCTGAACTTTGACAATGAATATAATCATAATATATTTTTTTTAAGAATCAAAATGATTGCAAATAAATTTTTTTTTGAAAAACATCCTTTATTAACTTAAGCTCAAGTTAGAGCTCAAACTCAAAGCTTGTTTATTAAACGAGCTCGAGCTCGTTAGCTCATGAGTCAACTCGATTATTTGGGGCTCAGCCTCTCCTTCACTTTCGCCCTCAATCTCACTTAGATAACTTCTCTAGCGAGCTTTCATGACAATTTCATTCGAATTAGCGAGCCTGTTCATTAGCATGTTGTTAGTACTGCAAACATGGCCTATTTTTTGACAAACTCAAACTCGAGTCGACTCCTTTACGCTCCTACGTAAGACTAATTAGTTTGATTAAGTTCTAGTGTATGAGACTATAGAGCATAGTTAATGTAAAAAATTGTGGTAACTTAAGGCTTAGATGGATTCATGAATACCTTAAGATGATAACTATGGCGTTCAATCATAAGAGCATACATATAAATTATTGTAATTACAAATCAATGTTATATAAATTTATGTAATTCAAAGTCCAATGTAATTATCTACTTTTTATTATGATGTCGTGTGAAAATAAAATGAGAACATCCATGTGGGTTTAAAACTAAGTCCATAAACATCTAAAATTAAAATAATTGGGTCATGGCATCCTAATTAAATCATAATTAGGAATATTTTCAAAGTAATTAAATTTAATACTTTAAGATTAGTATAATAAACAGCTATTAAAATAATCATCATTAAAAAATTTTAATAGCTAAACCTTTTTTCTTGAAATAATTAGTAATAATTGTAAAAAAAAAAAAAATATGTGGCATGCATGATATGTGGCATGCATGTAAATGATAAATGAACAGGTGGCAACCAACCAATAATAGAAATTCATACAAATCCTGAATATCCAATACAATAATTCTGATACATAATATAAATGAAATATAAATGCAGCAAATAAATAACAATATAGTTCCTAAACAAACCTTAAAAAAATAAATAAATTGAAGGTATAAGGAAAGCTCAACGGCTAGTTTTTCAATTATATATGAAACTTTATACCAAAACTAGAAGCAGGAAAACAAATAAAAGGGGCATTTACACACATACCATTCAATTCTTATGTATTTACATAACTAGCACCTGAACTTTTACATTTTACATTTATACCATCCAAAATTTCATATCACATAAAAAATATTGCCATTATAACTTTTTAAATCGTAAAATATCCCTTCTCATGCATAGTTAAGGTAGAATGTATGCAAAATTTCAAGTTTAGGTGTTAGATATGTAAATACATAGGAATTGAGTGGTATGTATGTAAAACTTCTTAGATAAATCTTTCAATCAGTCAGCAAACTGAGTCAGTCGGTGTATGGTACTCTTCGCGAGTCTATTACCAGGATCGATCTTAAGAACTGCCCTCAAATCAGCAGCACCAAGCCTGTACTTCTCAGAGCTCTCATAAAGGAGAGCACGTTGCAGAAGCACAGAGACGTTGGTTTTATCGTGATCCAGCACCTGCAATGCATGTTGGTTTTCTTTTTGGTTTAGGGTTGAAGGAGATTGGAGGAAATAAAAATGAAATTCAGTAACTTATGGGTTTCTGTTGCAAAAAGAACAATGAAACATAAGAATTGAAGAGCTACATGGTTAATATATACCCCTAAGAAGCACATGGGGGCTTGATTTATCTCAAAAGCAAGATTTACATACATACATGCATACTACTCGATTCCTATGTATTTACAAATCTAACACCTAAACTTCAATTTTTACATGCACGAAAATATCGCAATAATACCATTTAATTTTATCACCCCAAAAATAATCACCTTTATGACAATTATAGCCTTAAGAGAATTCAATCTCCTCATTAAGATGTATTGGAGTTATCTAAGGAGAGTGCTAGGTGGCAGGTTTCTATTAGAGTCATCAATCTCAGTTTCATCCTATTGCAACCCTCAGCAACACAACTCCATTCTTTAAGATGTGAATTCTCGTCAGACAGCTTGCCATGCCAAAGAAAGGGGGCATTTACATGCATACCACATTCTTATGTATTTTTACATATCTAACACATAAACTTCCATATTTACATACAAAGCATCCAAGTATTTAACATCACATAAAAATACCACAATAGCTTACTTTTTAAAAATGGAATGCACCTTTTCGAGCATAGATTTATGACAACAAAGTGTTATAAATGTAAAATATGAACGCTTAGATGTTAGATATGTAAATACATAAGGTTTGTGTGGTATGTATGTAAATCCCCACCCCAAATCCTCCTAAATGTTGACAATGCGGTCTCTCCTCACCCTTAATACAAAACACATTCAAGCTAACGACTTCTGAGCCCATAATAGTATCTTCAAAATTGTATTCAGTTTCATTTTATGATGTTGTTGATTAAGATAAAAGGATATTTACATATATGCCACACAATTCTTATGTATTTACATATTTAACACCTAAACTTTCATATTTACATGCATAAACACTTTGGTGTCATAAGCTTGTGCTTGAAAATATGTAATTTCACTTTTAAAAAGCAGGTAATTGTGGTATTATTGACGCAATCTTAAAGATTTGAGTGTTATGCATTTAAATATAAAATTTTAGGTGTTAGATATGCAAAAATAAAATAATTGTGTGTTATTATGTAAATGTCCCTAAGAGAAATTGCCGGCCTCCTTATCTTTGTGCATCTTGTGAATTTCAATTCTTCCCTCTAAGCAATGTTATGGCCTAAACCTCAACAAGGCAAACTGTATCGTATGAAAGTTAGATCTCCATGGACATGAATGAATATGTATGCATCTGCACGACTGCACTACGTATCAGCAAATCTCAATTAACCAATCCTCAACAGATTCATCTTTTACCTCTTCCAAAATAAAATCATTAAGCAAGCATATGATTTACAATTCTAAAAGATAATCAGAATTATTAACAAAATCATATACATCGATTATAAGAAGACTACACAACACCAATCGGTATCCAGGCATCACAGAATAAAAATTGCGGCTAACTAAAAATAGAGATTGTTGAGGCATTAACTAAAATCACAGCCTTAAACAAAAACTTTTGATAGATTTTTATTGGACTAGTATTGTTAAGGCATTGACCTAGACCATGACCACAAGTGCGCTCCACACTTAATATGAATAGAAGTTATGATGTTAAAGCATTAGCCTAAGATCTGATCCAAAATATTTTCCTTTCGGCAATGTTGATCGAAGTTGCTGTCACCGAGGTATTGCACCATGCTACAACTCACAGAACTCTTCACATTAACGTTGACTGAATTTATAAGCCTTGAAAGATTAGCCTAGGCTGCAGACCTGAGTCGAAAATTTGGTTCAATCCCAACTAAAATTGTGGTCATATAAGCATAATCCTAAACCACGACATATGGGCGGAAAATGCAACGTTCAAGATCACCATTGCCTCCTCTACATTCAATGAGCAATGCCAGGATGGGGCTTACTGAGAGCTCGACTTCTAGAATTCAAAGTGACTATCATTGCCTTGACATGAATTAAGCCATGAATTTGGCATTCATTGTTATGGATCACCATCATTCTCTAGACATCAAATGATGGATCAAGGGTTTGGGTTCATATCTCACCAATGTCCAGGATCACCACAATTGGTTCACACTGAAAGAAAGATGCATGAAGAGGGTTTGGACTGAGATCCAGCTAAATGTTAATATCACCATGGTCATCTTGCCACTTTATAAAGAATGGCTAGGAGCTTGGTGTAGGAGATTGGTATTGTTGCCTTGGTGTACGAGATCGGTATTGTTGCCCTAAAGTTGAACAAAAGATGCACATAGGATCTAGGCCGAGAACTTGATATGTACTGTTGAAGAATGCTACAATCATATGCCGAATAAAGAACATATGCACGGTGAGGACTAGAGCCATTGTCTTGCGGTGCACTTAGACTAGCCAAGATGCTGGTGTGATAAGTTCACCACGAAAGGGATCCTTGGCGCTTTTAGAGTGAAGAGTATTTTGTTGTGCTCCCCGCTGAGTAGAGTGGGATTTCTTAATAGCTCAAACATAAATTATTTCTCGAGGTTTGACTTTCCTAACACGGCATCCAATAGTGGGAGAATTTAAATCAATAAAAGAGTGCCATGTTCCCAAGAAATTAGAAGTGGATAATGATGCTTAAATCATTCAGAAGAGATGCACATGTCTGTCCCGGAATTTGTGGGTGATCATTCCTGACTTTGTTAAAGTAGACTTCCAAGAGAAAGAAGTTCATGTTCCATTCAACATGTAAGAGGCAATCTAATGTCCAGAATGAAGCCACATAAGAGCTAGTATGCCATTTTCAACCCTTCATGTCTATCACCAGATGGGGAATCCTAGCTCATTACCAGTGCTGAATTGTTTATTACTTCTTGAATCCCATCTCATTATTGCTTAGACATTGTGCAACCGATGTGGCCCTAATACTGAATGGATCTAATTGAGGTAGTGCTACAACAATACTACACATAATATTGATTGAGCTTACTAAATAAGTGATGTTTATGACCAAAAGGATCATGTGTTGTGTGAAAGATTGCAGATTAAATATTTGTATGCAATCAAGCTTCTTTATTTGATTAACCTTTGGTTGTTACATATTAAAGCTAATCCTTCGTCACACTTCCTTCAATGTTTTAGGCATTTTCACTTAGTTATACTCATTCTCGTCTTCCTTCAATGTTTTAGGCATTTTCACGTAGTTATACTCATTCTCGTTATTTCTATATCTAGGTAAAAAGTTAGCAATAGGCCAACAATGTGCTGGTAAACTCAGTGGAGACTGGACTCAGAAATGAAATAATTTAGTTGTTAATCTCATCGACTATTGGGTTGAGAAGAGCAATGCTTGCAATTTCCCTTACAACTCTTTGATTGTGTAAGAACATAAGAACGAGTACTCCATAACCTTCCATGCTGCTTATGCAAGCTCTAGTGGGAATAACAGATCTGATCAGTCCCACCAAGTCAAGAGATGTGCTTGGCGCTTTGCTAAAATTTAGAACAGTAGAATTCTCCTGAAGGAACAGTAGAATTCTCCTGAAGGATTGGCCTCTTGAAGGACAAAGATTGGCTTGTGTATACAATGAAGGCATTTGAGGGGATTGATCGCCTGGTCAAAGGAAGAGTGCCCTGGTGTCTTGCAAGTTAACTTAAACATTGATTAATAGTTAACAAGCACATCAATCTCTGGAGTACATACCTATAATACAGATTGATGCTCACTTCGCCTTGGTGCCCGCCATTATGATGGATGGGTGGAGGCACACACCATATATGATGGGAGCCATTGGCCGCAAGTATAGTGGAAGCATGCGCTTGAGCATTTTTTTAAGGTTTTGCCAAAGTCCTCACGGAAGCCATCTCATAGTGGTAGATGTGTTTGTTTGGAGCCCACAGCCAAGCATACGTGTAAGCATTTTTAAGTTGAATTCAAACATACCTACCTAGACTAGTAATTTGAGATTTCAAATTCAAATTGAATTGAGCCAAGTTTGAGTCTAGTTCAAACTGATCAGTTCAAGTTGAGTTTCAAGTGTGATTGGGATAATTACATACGTGGCACGTGAAACATTGCTATTTATAAAATTAGCACTTAGGTCATTTTTTTTGAACAATTGAACTGATGCATTTGTGCGTGCCATAATCAACCCATTGGAAATATGAGAAAAATAAAATATATGGCTTAGGGTTTTATCATGAATTTTGATATTTGAGTTCAAATTTGAAAAAGAGATGAAAGATGGTTCTAGTTTTGTATATAGTAATGTTTCAAGTGCTATGTATGTAATTGTCTCTTCATTAATTTTATTATTTTTGACATAATATATATATATAATATATATATATATATATATGCATATATGTGAAATATATCAAGTTGTGTCGTATTCCTTGTCCAGTTGGTAGGCAGGGTCACTGTAAGTCCCCTCTGGCAAGGGTTCGATCCCTACCGTGGTGCATGGGGGGTCGAATTATAGGCACATGGCACGGGCTCTCATCATGGGGCCGGATTGCACATGAGAAATCGATATTTGGGTCTCTGCCAAATATCAATATCCTTGGGGAAAAAAAAATGTGAAATATATCAAGTTGATTTCAACTTTAATCAAACTAATTTTGAATAAGTTATCTTGGAGTCAAAGCAGATTAATAACAATGTTGGGTTTATTAGAACTCGAGTGATGATTGAGTGAGCTTTGAACATTGTCATCAACATTATTCGAAACAGATATTTTTTGCCCAAAGAGACAAGTTCATCTCATCTTGAAATCATTCAAAAATTCTAAATTGAAATTAAACTCCAGCACAACTTGAAATATTAAAAACAGCTTATTGGCTAGCTTATTTATCACTCTAAGTTGACCACAATATCATCAAAGCTTGTGCAAGAATTTCATGTAATAAACTCAAAATTTAACAAAGTACTTTATGAAAGCATTTGTGTTGATTGGGGGTTCCAATTCGCAATCTGAAAAGGAAATTCAGATTAACATTTTTTGCATAGTTGCAATCAAACAAGCTAAAATTTTACCATCATTTCAAAAAAAAAAAATTGTAAATGGATATTTAAGAGTGAAAAATGGGATTTATTATTATTTTTTTCCTTTATCTTTCGAACAAAAGGCTAAAAATAGGGAGATAACTAATATGTCCTATCAGAATATAAATATCTTGATTGTTCAATAAAGGATGCCAAGATTCATGCTTTTTTGATCATCATACAATGACAAATATATTAACAATGATCCTTAGGACTCTGTGACATCAAATTGCAATAAAATTCATGAAGACACTTTCAAATCCATAAAATCAAATACATATCTCAAAGCTATCAATGCAAAACCAATGGTCTAATACTCTGATTAGGATCTTTGCTACAACAATCTCAAGGTTGAAGCCTCAACCATGATGTCTACTATCACTAGAAGAAAGATGATTTGGCACTAATCCAGAGGAAAAAATGTCACAAATTTCCACTCTCAGATTACTTAGAGAAATAAAATGCCCTAAGTCAAGGGAAATTTTGGTTCAGGTGAGGTCCTACACTTAAGAATCATGATAAATTTTTTTTTAAGAAACAGACTCAAGGACGAGGGTTAGTAATCTTCATTACGCTTCATTTCTTCAATAGAAGGAAGCTCTATTGAGCTACTTTTGTGCTTTACTCTAGCCCGTGAATTCATTGGCCAAGTTAGGCACAAGTTTCTTCCTAGGATATAATTACTCCGAGGTAGGTTCACAACATTTTGTTTGTCACGAAAAAAGACCCTACACACTTTCAAGTCTCTCAGCTAGCTCAAAGTCATTCCAACACACAATAATACTATAGTCTAAAGCCTTCAATCATGCTTTTATAGTGACATAGATTTTACATACTCTAGCCAATTAAGCAAAAGGTAGAAACTCCATATAACAAACCATGTCATAATTTTTCGTTTTCTTTTGGTATTTGAGCTGTAAAAACTACTACAATTAGAGGGGTTAGTGTGCGTTCAAACCTGCGCCGCTTTGGAGGGAAACTATGACCCCAACCTTCACGCTGCGACTTCAAGCGGGACATGTAATACTTCAATAACAATTATATTCTATAGATACACTGCTTATAAGTAGCTTCCAATAATTTATTAGGAAGGCATTCTCATTCAAGTTGTATTTCACTTCGCATAAGTTGATGTTAATGGTATTTTTGATGTGATTTAGATATAGGATGCCATAAAAATAAATATAAAGATTTACATGTTTGATATGCAAATAAATTGATTAGAAAGGAATATAAAGCAGAAGCCGAATAAATTAAACGAAGAAAAAAACTTGAGGTAAGACTAATGATGATGATCAACATGAAATCATAAGAAGATCAAAGCAGAAGTGTTTGCAGTAACGAATACCTTCGAGCAATCAGCAATGGCTTTCTTATATTCGCCAACTTCTTTGTAACATGAAGCTCTGCAAGTCAATACCTCGTTGGAAGAAGCCGGGTTCCCAGATTTCTCCAACAGCACAAGCGCCCAAGAAAGCCATTTTATTGCATCGGCAAACTGGCCCTGTTTGTAAATATCCAAACCTTTCATCTTGGCAGCCGACGCCGTGACCCCAACCGGTGGAGGAGGAAGCTCTTCAAGCTCTGTAGTTGTGCCGGCAGTGTCATGGCCACCGATTTCTAAACCAACATCCCAATCATGCATCTCAGGGATCGTTTGAGTTTCTAGCGAAACTCCAACTGGAGTAGTTGATGATGACAATGGGGAGAAAAACACATTGAACGGGTCAGATCCATCTCCCGCCGTTTTTGGCACTCCAGAGTCATCAGTTCTAGCGTTCTGGAAACCCCCGAAAGAATAATCGTTGCTACCGCTGCTCTGTTGGGGCTTTTGAGCCGTCGGAACATTCTGGAAAGAACCAAAAGAACCCTTACCACCACCGCTTACGGAGGATTTTGCTGCGGATAATGGCACGCTGGAAGAGGGCTTCGATGCAAAGCCTGTAAATGAACCAAAGGAATCCGGTTTAGAGTTCGAAGCGTGATCCGATTTCATCGAAGACCCTATATCAGGGCGAGATTTATTGAAGAAGGTGTAGCTTCCAGTTGAATTGGGGTTAGGGCTACTTGTTTTGGGGATGGAGCTCTTCAGATCGGCCATAGAGAAGGATGAATTCTTTGGCGGAGCCGACTTGATCGGAACGTTCTGTGATGAGCGGCCCTGGCCCAGTGCCGATCCAACTAAATCGCCGAAGAGATTGGGATTCTTGTCTTGAATTCCCAGCTTGGAGGTGGAAGCTGCCGATGAGGTCCAACTTCGCCCAAATATGTCACCCACCAAGGGAGCAGGATTTGGAAGGCCAGATCGGGAAGCGGTTGCCGGTTGGTGAGTCCACGAGGGCCTCGTCGCCGGCGAGGAAGTCCATGATGGAGCGGACGGCTTTGAGGATGTAAATAGGGGATTCGATGGGACGGCGTTAGGGTTTAGCTTTTGGTCCTTGAGTGGGCGAGAGGATGAGGAGCTGCCGGAGCCGATGCCGAAGTCGAATTGGTACGAATCAAAGGAGACGGTGGTAGAGGAGGAAGATGAGGCGGCTCGCTGCGATCCGGATCCGGTGAATGAGTTCATCACGCCGGCGAGATCTCCAGACACGATGAACTGGTAAGACCGGAACGGGTGGAGAAACAGCCGAGAGTCAAATGGGACGAAGAAATGATTTGTTACTTGTACTGGGCATTTACATACATACCACCAACATCCTATGTATTTTCATTTCCAACCCCTAGGGTGTATTTTGAAAAATGCCACCCAAAGTGCATAAATTTTTATTGGAAAGGTTGGCTTTAACTAACACTTAGAATGTAGTAAGGGTATTATTGACTCGGTCGACTGAGCTTAGTTGACTTTGGGGTGTTAGGGTCGTTCGGTCGCTTAAGTTCAGCTGGCAACTCGACCAACTAATTTAATATGGCTGTCGAACTTGATAATAGATTGGTAAACTTCAAGGCGTTCGTGATATGATTGTAGATGCTAAGAGATTGAGTCTTTTCTCAAGTTAGTTTCTTTATGGTGGTTGGTTTGGATGTTTCATTATCTCGTCTCTCAATAAAGTGTTCGAAATCAGATCATTTGACTCTCTTTTTTTCCTCCTCGTGGCTCAGTCGGCTCTGGTCTTGCTGGTCGGCTTTCGCTCGTACTACTGCATTCGATGAGATGAGTGGGCATTAGATACTCTTGAGCCTATAAAATAGGGAGTTTGATTCTTGTGTATGCTTAATGGCCAAGTATGTGAACAAATTATTAGATAATGGATTCTCAATGACCAACGGTATAATATCTCTTAATAATTGCAGAAAAAAGAGGTAGGTGAGTGTTTGCTCTTATCCATACAATTATCTTCTCTGCCAAATGTCTAACTCTACTTATTTTGGCTTTAAGTTTGTATTAATTTAGTTGAAATTAGGGTGCAAGTGAGACAAGCCGATTCGAGTCTGTTGAACAGAGCTCGAGGAGCTAACAAGCCGAGCCCAAGCTAGCCCAGACTGGACTCATTAGCTCGTGACCCGGCTCGTTTAAAAAAAATATATTAAATTTAAAGAATTTATATTTGAAGCATTAAAAATGTTTTAAAAATAATATTTTGTGTCTTATATGAGGTGATTTTTGGTTATTCATCTCATAAACATTCATTATATTTGTCATTTTTTTATAAAAATACTTTTAATTAGTATTTTTTTTCTTTTTATATTAAACAACTCGGCTCAAACTCGTAACCTTTTGCTCGAGCAGAAGCTTTAACTCGAAAAAATTAATCAAGTTCAAGCTCGAGTCGAGGGAGCTCAAGCTTGAATCGACTCATTTACATCGCTTCTTGAAATACATGAATTCTATTATTATTTATTATCATATATTCACAAATGTGTCATTTTGACAGATTAAATTAACAGTTTTATGAAATACTAATGCATGGGCAACATAGAAACTTTTTTGCTGAGAGTGATGGAGTTGATAAACCCTTGATATAAGAGCAAATGAAAAGATAAATCATTCATAAATAATTCAAATGGAATGAATAGCACTCTTAGGAGTAGGGATAAAACTTATGCCCTTGTGATAGTTTGAAGCTAAGAGAAATATTAAGTTTGATGGAACAAATGTGTGGAGAATCCAATCATTCTCCACACGTACGTCCTCCAAACACAATACCCCCTCCCAGAGGTCTAATTATTGCGTGCGGAGAGCGCACGCAGAGCTGCGTGCGCTCTCCGATCACAACCGCACATCGCGGCTGTATGACAGTGGGTCCCAATGTCATACAGCCGCGATGTGCGGCTGTGATCGGAGAGCTGCGTGCGCTCTCCGCACGTAATAATCGCTGAAGAGCCGAGGTAAGAATGATTAGAATAACGACAAATTCAAACATTTTTTAAAAATGTATATTTAGCATATTGGGAATTATGTAGTTGATACCAAACTTGAATAACTGAGCAACAAAAAAATATAAAGAACATAACTATCAAACTTCAAAACATAATTTTCTTCACATATTTTACTCAAATATATCTTGATCCATATAAGTAGCAAAATACTTAGCCATACACAGATATGCATACACTGCTTCAGACCAATACAACATTCCTCATTCTCCATTAACATTCCATCAGAAAATGAAGGTCTAGACTGGCCAACAGCTCCTTCCATAACTATTATCCATATGTATACAACACTTTTCTGGAAAGGAGAGCTTAGACACCGCAGCGAGAAAGCTTGCGAGGGAGATTTCTCAGCCATGGATGCTCCTTAGAAACTGGACCGGATATTATAACTCCTCCATACTTCCTCGCTGCTTCGTTGCTGTCAATGACTGCTGGTTCAGAGAGCTTCTTCTCCAGTATAAAAAAGGCTTCTTTTCCCACTTTTTCGAGGTGATGATAAGACATCTTCTTTGGAAGCTTGGTGTTTAGGGTTTGGTCGAGGTGATGATAAAACATCTTCTTTTAAGGCTTGGTGTTTAGGGTTTGCTTTGCTGCATGGAACTGATGGAAGCAAAGATTGCCTTTTTATAGGTAAATATATTACATTTGGAACATGTAGAGTGTGTCATGTGGTAAGTGGATCCCATCTCTTTAAAAAATCTACGACCCATTTGTCATGCAGCAAATTCTCACTAAAATCCATACGCAGATTTGAGTCGAGAATCCGAAAGTAAAATTTTCTCTTTTTACCGGGGGTTTAAAGCAAAAAAAATTATGGAGATGCTTGAATTATGAATGAGAGACCTAACATTTATATTTAAATAAATATCTAAGACCTTAACATTTATATTTGTATGCATATATGTACTATTCAAATCTTGTGCTGCGTACCCCCACTCTGAGGTTGGGGTTTCGAATCTCCTTTGATGACGTGAGTCTTATGTAGGTGATACTCTAATAGATAGACACATTAAGAGTGGTTCGATGCTCGTATAATAACCTCTTGTCATTTCTTTTAAATTAAAGAAAAAAAATACAACTCAAATTTTTAAAATCACATAAAAAATATTATTATTACTGATTTGTTAAATATAAAATATATTTTTTCATGCATAGATTTATAATACCAGAGTGATATAGATGTAAATATCAAATTTTAGATGTGTTAGATATGCAAATGTATAAAAATTATGTGGTATGTATATAAATTTTCATAAATTTGAATGTCCATAGTTAAGTAGTTCTAACTTATCTTAAAGCAGGAAAGTGGGTTCTTGTTGACCCGGGTCAACATGACTTGATGAGTCATCTTTTTTTTTTATTATTATTATTATTTTTTTTATTAAGATTTACATAAATCAAGTCCTCTGTATTTACATATCTAAGAAAGAAACTTCAATTTTTACTTATGTTACACCGTCATGTATTTCAATATTAAATTGTATTTATTCCATTCCTGCGGCACAAAATGTACGGTGATGTGGCTAGAACATCGTCGTTGTCCGGATGTGCGGTTCGCCAGAAATAATGATTCTTCAAGATTAGATGGACGAGAACTTCTTGGCACTAGTTTCTTTTTCCAATACTCATTAGAGAAATCATCATCATATGTAGGGCTGTCAAAACGACTCGTGTTCGGCTCTTTCACTATGTTAGCGAGCCGAACACGAACAAATATCATTTTTGACTCGAAATACTAGTTATCATATATATACATACACACGCACGTAAATGCTCCACTTTAAGATTCATCATTATCCTATTAATATGGGATTGTTGGAGATGCAATTCTAAACGTGTATATAAACAGCATTCGGCTAATATGTCAATAGAATTAGATACTTATGAGCCTATATAATTGGAGATTTGATTCATACATATCCTTCAGTGCAGCAGTGAGTATAATTCCTCTAAATGCTCATATCCATTGGAATGTCTTCTTCGCAATTTGATATGAAAATTTTGGGTGCTACAAATATACACGAGAAGTAAAGTTTGAGTGTGTATGCTCTGCTATGGCCATATGTATTTGACGTCGTCGATAAATTTATTGTTTGACAAGAATCTCGAGGTATGGTATGAATCTCAAGATAATTTTTTTAGCAGGAAATTTCTAGACTTTGAGTAAAAATTATCAGTACTCGGATTTAAACAAACACATATTCAAACTAACGGGGAGACGAACCTAATGTTGCCAAAGTTGGTCAAATTTAGCCAAATCAAGAGGCTTTCAGTGCATAATTAGAAAGTCAAACATATTACAAATCTAGCAAGCTTATAGTCAAATCGAGCATCTCGACGAGGCGAATTGAACAAGCCCAAGATCATTCAATTCTAACATCATTAAGATACACAATTGCTCTTTGAATGGCATAGGATCGAGGGAATTTCACTGGGTTGTCCGATGGGAAAAATTATTGCATACGACGACCGTATGCAGAGTCGCATGCGGTCTCCCAATTAAAACCACTCTCACCCCAAAAAAGTGTAAAATTGAAAATTTTTAAAAATTGATGTTAATTATGTGGCGCGAAATAATTGGAGGCCGTACCTACGGACTCTGTATGCAATAAGCGCTCGTCCGATTGAGTGTTTCAAATTTCTTTCTTATTTGCAGAAATGGTTCTCCTGCACTCTATAAATGCAGCCCTACCCCCATTTGGAGAGGAGAGTTAGACCTAGAGCCAGAAGAAGAATGAAGCTTAGAGATGGAGCTGAAACTCAACATCATTTCTACACCAAAGATCTAATGAATTCCTTTCGCTCCTATAGCCGCCGACCATTGTTGACCACCACCTACCAGACATTGTCGACCACCCTCGTGCACCACTTGCTTCTTGAGGGGTTCAAGGAAAAAAAACAAGAACTGAAATTCTAGCAAAATATACATCATCTTCTTCCACACTTTCCTCCTAAAACTAGATCTTTCCCGGATCGTATGAATTCATAGGCCATACAGGACCCTACGTTCTAAAATAATTCAACATTATTAGCTATATAAATAATTAGGAATTAGGTGGTATGTCTATAAATACCTCATCTATATAAATAGAGAGAGAGAGAGAGAGAATAACGTAAAGAATGAACCCCATAAGGCATCGTATCACACTTAGAAGGTTTAATCATTGCTCTCCTTTAGTGTCATATAAGATTACTAATAAGCCCACATCCGCATGCCATTTGTCGCTATAACATCTATGAATGATTGAATCAATAATAATTATAAA